TATGTATATATATGTATATATATATATATATATATATATATAGTGCAATGTGTGTAGGGAAAGTGGTTACTTCGGCCCCTCCGTCAAATAAAAAAAAATGCTTATTTTCGTAATTTGTAGAATTTTTTAAGACCCTTTATAAAGAATTGTAATTTTTATATAGGTATAAGAAATTATTTGCAATTTTTTCATTAAAAATCTTATTAATAAACACTATATTTTTTTTTAAAAATTTCAGTCGGGGCCTTCAGCAGTCCCAAGCCCTGGGACGATTGCCCCTTAAACACTCCTCCTTTCAGTACAGCCTTGACTAAATCATGTAAATTACATTCATAATTCTCTTAAAGTATCCCATAAAAAAGAAATGTTAGCTACTTTTTCACTCAAATTCTAGTGTTCCCAAATTTCCCACGTAGTAAACGCATGCACCTAGTCTTATCCCAGTAGTGACCAAGTTATTTGACTTTTCCAGGAAAAAAAACATATGAAAAAAAGTAATACGTCTATGACTTTTCAAGAATGATAAATATATGTATATGGAAATTTCGATTTTAATAAAAAAATTAGATAGTTTATTAAGAGCATTACTGTAACACCCAAGCTTAAGGCTCCTTATTTTGTGACTAACAACATGATGGGAGCATTGCAGTCAGCACTGTACACTGATCACATTTACTTCAGAGGAGCTGGTACTGATCAACCTGAAGCAGAGTGGGCTTCAAGTAGCCAGAGAGGATAGAACATTAGTATTTCAAAATGAACCACTAAAAATGCCTTAACATCGGTGCCTTAACCACTCAGATACAACAAATGATTACAATTTTAAATAGTTCAGAGTGCATAGCCAAATTTTTCATCAAAAAATAAGCACTTTTCAAGCACTCAAAAAATATTTTTAAGCACTTTTAAAAAATATCATAATTAGACAGAGTTGGCAAGTTTTTGACAATTGATGATTTTATTTGCTTGCCAGTGACGAAGACGATGGCACGTCACCAACGATTAAATTAACAAGAGAAATGAAATTTTCTATCGCTAATAGAGAAAAAAAATTGGCAATGTTTAGTCGGTCCCCGTAATCAGCAAAAATTCCAGAGATTGTTCAATTCTATTACAGAGGGTGGAAAATGAAGTCTGAAATTGAGAATCTCTTGCAAAATGCAACAGAGTTGCACATGAGAGACAAAAATCCTTACCACTCAAATCAAGTTCAGTATACACATCATCGAACATGTAAAGCAAATAGTGTTTTCATAGACCACAGACCGACGGTCGCCGAAATAGATTGAGGTTGGATAAATTGTGAAAACATTAAATAGGACAATGTCTTTTTGCATAATTTGTGGCGAAAATCAACATGGTCAAGAAAAACATCACATTTCGGAAAGAGGAAATTAAGCACCTTTTAAAAACACCCAATGAAAAAAGCATCTTTAAGGGCTTTTAAAAATCGAAAATAAGCACCTTTAAGCATTTTTTAAAAATGCTATGCACCCTGTAGTTTATTACAATATAAAAATTCCGCATTACACATGAATTTTTGGAAGGAAAAGTAATATTTGTAATCAATACTTACTATAATTGATCTAAAAATTATACTAGAGTCTTAATAGCTACTTAATGTTACAAAAGATTTTAAGATAGCTTGGAGGTTATTTTTAATTTAGAATTTTTCCCGGTTTTGTCAAAAAAAATTTTAAGACTTAGATCTGAGTCACATCCTAGGAATTCAAGATCCTCGTGCAATCAACCACATTTGCAAAACATCCTCAACTCAAACACCAAAAATACTATGTAATAAAAAATAATCTTAATCCACTAACTTTTGTAAGTATTTAAATATATTACATGAATAAGAATATAAAAATCTTGTTTAAGCAAATAAAAGATTAAAGAGATTAATACATTAGAAATAAATGAGTGTTTAACTTACCTGTTTTAGAAATTGATCAGCATTAACAAGATCTGTACATCCATATACAATTTTCTTTTGAACTGGATTTGTTTTGCCCTGACAAAAACAAGAGACAAAATGTTGAAATATATAAATCATTTTTATCTTCTTTTAATATACGTATTCTAAATCATAGGTCAAAATAAAATGCTACACTAACAAGTTAATAAGTATAATACAATTACTAATATTCTGTAATAAGCAATCAAAATAATTTAATATTTTTATTTAGTCATTTAAATTATTTAAAATCTAATTAAATTAGATAAAACTGATGAATTGAAATATTATCAAAAGAAAAAAAAAGGTTCAATAATTTTGAGCAAAACCTGATAAAGGTATATGCAGAGTTCATTCTAGGCAAGGTAAACAGGGCGCAGTACCCTGCTGCCCTTTTAGTCAAAAGAATCCACCCTGTTGCCCCTGAAGTAAATTAGTGCCCTGATATAATAGACTCCATACCCTTTTTGCCCTTGCTTTCCTCAACCCTTCCTTTTTTTTTCCCAAACTCTACTATGGATTTCTTAAACTTTTGTTATTTGCAATTCTTTTTATTTAGTTTGACATTGCTGTCAATACATAGATTTATATGGGAAAGGAAAAATAGCCATCACACCCCCTTGTTGCACTTGTCTTGGAAAGTTTGCAGTTACTTCCACTATCATTAAATCATAATTATTAATCATTTTAATTATTAAATCATAACTACAGACACTTAAAAACATACATTTATTATTTTATTAATATGATTGCTTTGCTACTTTCAGTAAAGTAAAAAAAAAAAATCTTTTACTAATTGACAATGTTTTTTAATAGAACGTGTAAAGTCCATATGAAGAAATTATTGCCTTATTAGAATAATAATGCCCCTTTTTTAAACTTTTGCACCCTGCCCTTTTTTTTTGCCTAGAAGGAGCTCTGCTATATGTATCATCACACAATTCTAGTCTTAAGTCTTCACAAAGTCTTAATTTTCCTTTGCTTATTTATCAAAGTTAAAAGTTTTAGTTAAAACTTAAAGTTTTTTAAATTTTAGATTAAATATGTTATAAAGTGTTTTGGAAATAAAAATAATAAACACATTAGAATTTTTTGATGAATAAAAAAGTTTTAAAAAAATGTTTGAAAAAAATTAATATTTTCTAGATTACTTCATTAACAATTGACATGCCTAAAGTAGTAAACTGTGATATAGATTTTTTTTTCACAATTTGTCTATTTTTAAAAAGATTCAACACATTTTAATAATAAAATTAAAAAAATTTAAATACAGTTTTCTTTTTCATTTAGATGTTTTTAGTTCTTTTATAAAGCTAAATAAATAGGACTATTGATACACAAGATAGAATTAGATTAAATAACCACTTAAAATGTTCATAATTAATGACAAAATTCATCACTTTCTAGGACCAAACATAAGAGGAAAAATTATTAAAAAATATTTTTAAACTGTAATCTGCTTCATAAACTTTCGTACTTTTAGTACAGTAATGCATTTAACTTCAGTAAAAGATCTTACATTCTCAAGTTATTAACATACATGTAAATAAATATATTTAAAAGTTTGAATAGTATAACTCAACTATATACACATACACAGAATAGAAATAAAAATTGGACTTCTCAAATCTGAAAACCTCCTAAATCCAAACAATTAATTCACGATGAGAGAAAAAAAAGCTAAATTAATTTTAAAATAGAGGCAAGATGCTGAAATTTGCATTAATAATAGTTTTTTTAAAAAAAAGTTTTAAATCTTTCTTACTTTAGTGTAATCCATAAGATTTTGGTACTCAATATAGTTTCCACCGCCTACCACAAACACCACAGCCTGCAAAATCAATAAAATGTCATTTTATATATGTAAATAACAAGAACCATATTTAAAATTTTAAGTCAATATTTTTAAATTTTAACATTTAGTACAATAACATTTAATAATAAAATTAACTTTCAAAATTTTTTTGAATAAAAAATCACTTATAAAGTAATTTGATACAAAAAATTATTACTAGAAACAGTAAGTTTAACAGCACTGATTAAAGAAAAATAAACTAAAACAAAAATCACAATTCAAAAATCACAATTTTCCAATAGTTATAGGAAAGTTTGAAGCATTCTAAACTAGGGAGAAAATGTATGATCTTTTAAAAAATATTTTAAGAATAAATAAATTAGTTTAAATTTTTATCTCCAATGAAGTAACAATGAATAATATCAAAAATAAAGTAATACTTTTCATATTTATATCTTCATTATTGACAATTATTTTAAGGAAGATTTGTTTCTTATAATAATTATTCAGATAAAAAACATTAAACAAGGACAACCCAATTTATAATGCACAAAATATTAAGCATTGCTTCGAAATGTTAAAAAATAGAATGTAGCCCCCTTCAAGCTTAATGTAACATACACAAATTTCTTTTTTTTTTTTAAAGCTTTATTCTGAGTTTATAGTAATAAGTTAGTAGTCTTTATACACCCTTCAAATTAAATTGTTTTGAACTCGAAATATAACTAAATAAAGAAGCTTGTTTGAACATAGTAATTAAAAAATTTTAAAACTTAACTACTTATAATGGTAATGTTTTTACATGCAGTAAAAGCTAAATTAACAACCTAGTCACAAAACTGGTGGTTGTATCACAAAAATAATAAATGACACTTCAAGTAAAAATCAATAATGAAATTAAACTTACATCTTGGAATGGTGATCGATTCCTAGGAATAGAAGAGCTACGGAAGAAAAAAATTTAAAGAATCGTTAAAAAAACTTTAATCAAGAAACAAAGTCTTGGCTTTTAATTTTCAACAATGACAAAAAAATATGGAAAAATTTAACACTACAACACATTGTTAAGCATAAATTTTGTCACTATATTTTCATACATTTTAATTAATAAACTGTAAAATTATTAGAGCAAGTTTGAGCAAACATTTTCATGTTGAAAGTATTAACACACACAAAAGAAGAAAAAAATAGATTTGGTGAGAAGGAAAATTAGATTGTACCATGAACTAGATTTTAAGATTAAACAAATATCATAGAAAAATTTTAAGTTACAAAAAAAAAAAATCTATTTTCAAAGCTAACATTTTAAAACAATCACAAAATAATTTGCACAGAAATATGAAAATAAAACTTTTAGGAGAATAAACAAAAATTATTAAAAAATGGGCATTGAATAAGCATAAATTATAAAAAATATAAAAAAATTTAATACTATACTGAATAAAAATGGAAATGTATAAGTCATATGAAATAATAAATATGTTAAAAATAACACTTTAGTGAACTTTATAGAAGGAAATTTAAAATTTCTGTTGTCAACACAAATCTACACAAAGAAGATGCAGATTAATAAAATTAAAAAATATGTTAACTGTTTGCAAGTGTTTAAAAGATTACTTCTAAAAATATTAGAAATATGCATTTAAAAATCTTAGGATTTCATACTTCCATAACTAGGTTGGTGATAATCATAACCATAAATAATCTGTTCACAGATAGTTAAAAAATTACTGAACAGGTTTTAAAAAAATATAAAACATTAATGCAATTTTTATTTACTATCATTAATAAATTGGGACTAAAACATTTACCTATCAGTTGGACGCAAAAGCTTTGGATCAAAATATCGATAATCATCTGTTTCAGGTAAAGATTTCATTTCCATTAATGAATCAACTATCCTTGTAATTGGTAAATTCTAAAAAATATAATTATAATAGCATTACATATAATTACAAAATGTTCAATATTACACACCTGTAGCATATTACTATAACCAGTACTCACTTCATAAACTGTACTAAGAAAATAAGAATAAATTTTTGACATTAAGATAAAAACAAATTCCTTAAAATATCTCTTAAAGCTATTATTTTATTATATTTAAAAGTATTATTTATGGTTAATGTTAAGTAAATATTACAACAAAACACATCTCTAGATGCCCCAAGATACCAAAATATGCTACCTAAAATTATAACAGTACAATGTACTTAGCACTAGACATACAGATTATAGCTTACAATTTAAAAAGAAAAATATACATTTTTGAGCAATATTTCATTATAATGCTTTACTATTTGAGGTCTACATGCTCTAAGATATCAAGATATGCTATCTAAAATTATAATGGTGCAATGCTCTTTGCACTGCATATACCCATTATTTGAATAAAAAAAACTATTTTTTTAAAAATAGTATATAAAAAATTTATTAAAAGTATTGATCTATTTCAAAATTATATACTTACATGTTTTTTAACAACTAAGTTTTTTACACCTTCCATTACAAATTGTGAACCATGCGACATTAACTTAGAAAACATGCTGTAAAAATGAAGATAAAATGTATAAATATATATATTTTATTGATTTATTATACATATATACATATAATTATTATATTGATATATTTCGCTTTGGCTATATTAATACAATGTTAGAAAGCACTTTTTTTGGGACATAATCATGTGAGTTGATGATGCAATTATATATTATTTTTCCTTATTTTGTTTTCCGGCTTGTTTGATTTTTCAATTTTTAAATATTCTTTTTAATTTTTGAATATTTTTTAAAAATTTTATATATACATATATATATTATAATTAAAAATTTTATGTATGATGCTATAATTTAGATAAGTAAAGCTTTTAATATTTAGAAACATTAAACTAATAACTAAAGCTGTTCTTAAATAGGTAATTGATTATTTGAAATACTAATCAGAACACAATTAAAAATATATATAAAAAGAGGAATTATGAAATGTAATCAAGTTAAATAAGCTTTTGTTACAAAAGAGCTCCCCTTGCCTCAGATAAAAATGACCTTATAAGAAGTAACGATTTTTAAAATTTGACCATATATCCGATAATCTGTAACAAAAAATTCCTATTCAGTGAGCCGGGACTTTGGAAAAGTGACCTTATATGCGGATGACCTTATATAGAGGTCTGACTGTACACACATATATTATATATATTACTTGATGGAGAGCATAGTATTTGAGGTAGATACATACCTAACTGTTTTTGTTCCACCACTATACTGACTAGTTGAATTTGAAGAAAGCTTGCTGTAAGTTCTATAAAAGAAATGACACAATTTTTTTACATAATTAAATGTTTATATATTAAAAATTTTATATAAAAAAATTTTAATGTATTTAGCTATAATCCTTATCAACCATATTAAGTCAAAATAAGCAATTATACCATCATATGAGATTATGTTGTAATTTATGCTAGCATTTGCAATAAGCTGAGGTGGCCTCAAAAATTTGCCCTTTTGCGACTCTTCACTGCACTGTACAGCATTGTAGTAATATAAGTTTTCAATGATTAAGAACCAGTTTTTTTAAGAATAAATAGTTGCATTGATGATTTTGTTGGAATTTTCAAGACATGGAAGGCTACAACATTGACACTTATTTCGTGATGTACTGCTTCCACACTAACTGTTAAGAAATAAATATTTAAGGGTCACTCATAGCACTAATGTCATTCAGAATTCATTAAAATAAGTAGTTTTTTTCTTGGATTTCGACTGTTAAAATCTACTTCTGCCAACAGTGAAAAAATATAAACTTTAAGAATATGTGCTGAAAATTAATATGTAACACTTAGGAGCAAAAGCAAAGTATGTGTTATGTATTTGTGGTATAGCCTTAAAATTTCAAAAATATGAAATTTTACACATGATTCAATGTTATTGAATGCCTTGTAACGTAACAGTGTGTGACAACTGAGCTAAAAGCATCAATTCCTCGAGAGGTTATGCTAAAATGATGTTGATGTTGCTTGAGAGACATACACGAGAAGTGATGTTCTTTTTGTGTAGTTGAGAAAGAGAGTGTTTTCTGCGAAGAGATATTTTTTTGGGGTAATATTTATTGATTTTTCGTGCGAATGTTTAAATAAATTGTTTGGTACAACTCACGTCTTATTTCTGGTTGTTGTGACACAACAGAATTTTACTGGTGGCAGCGGCGGGATATAGTAAGAGTAGTTGATTTAACGTAGTCAGTGATTGTATATTTAGTTTTTTATCAGTTGTAAATTATGGCTTTTCTTAATAAAACAAAAAAAGTGGATTTGATAGAATTGGCCGACGAATTAGGTGAATCTGTTCCACTTCAAGCAAATGTTTGTGAAATTAAAAAAATAATTCAAACTAGTAAACATTATGAGGTTGAGGATGTAAAGATGTGTTTGACTCGTATAACGGAGGAGAGAATTAGGCGAGAAGAACTTGAAAAACAAGAACGGCGAGAAGAACTTGAAAGACAAGAACGGCGAGAAGAACTTGAAAGAGAAAGACAAGAACGGCGAGAAGAACTTGAAAGACAAGAACGGCGAGAAGAACTTGAACGGCAACATCAATTGGAATTGCGTAAACTCGAATTAGAAGCAAATTCTCAAATTCAGCACCAAAACAGACCGGTATCAGGTGAAACAAATCATAAAATACAGATTTTACAAATAACACCAAAATTTAATGAAGGTAAAGATGAAATGTCGTTGTATCTGATAAATTTTGAACGTCGAGCAGAAATTGCACAAATTCCTAAAGATGAATGGGTGCCTTACCTATTGAGCGTAGTACCACCCGACATTTCAAATATGTTGGCGAGAGAGTCTCCTAATGATGCCAATAACTACGACTTTGTAAAAGAATTGATTCTTAAACAATATAAGCTTAATGCAGAGGAACTCAAACAAAATTTTTATCGACATTTTAAATCACCTGAAAAATCTTGGCGAAATTTTGCACAAGAATTAAATTGCTATTTTAGCGAATGGGTTTCTGAAGCAAAAATTACCACTTTCGATGATCTTAAGAGTTTGATGGTTACCGAGCAAATGAAACGTCATGTACCAAATGACATGAGAGATCATTTTCTTGAAGATTGGATGGAATTGAATTCTTATTCCAAATTAGCCGGAAAATTGGACGACTATGAAAGTTTAAAAAACAGTTTCAAGGAAAAGTCTGTGTCTTATAATCGAAGTAACCAAGATGATTCTTGGCGATTTCCGAACCAAAGTGATACCAGAACTGAAGAAAAGTTGACTTGGCAGAAAAATAATGTTAAAGAAAATGTTCGCGAAAGAGAATTTGAAAGAAGAAGACAGCTTAGATGCTATGAATGTGGTTCTTATGATCATCTACGCCCTCAATGTCCCAAGGCGAAAACAAATTCTGAAACTGTGGCTTCGCTTCACGTTTCGGAATCAAGGTTTCCTGATAGTATAATGACACCATATACGAGCATTGGCGTGGTAAATGGCGTTGGCATTTCAATACTACGAGACACTGGCGCAACCTTGGATTTAATTCCTAGGAGATTTGTAAAACCTGAAATGTACACGGGTGAATCTGTTTGGATAAAAACTCCAATACAGGAAGAATCATTTTGTTTTCCATTAGCCGAAGTTGAATTAAACTGTAAGTTAGGAAAAGTGGTTACTAAGGCAGCTGTATTAGGTGATTCTCTTGATAAAGGGTATTATTTATTGGGTAACAAAACGGCTGCTCTATTGGAAAATTCGTTTGAAGTCCCAATGATAAGTGCTGTAATGACTCGAAAACAAGAAAATATGAATGAAAGGAGGGAAGTGGAAAATAAAGATAATGTACAGCTCGGTATAGTCGATTCCAATGAACACATCGTTACTTCTGATCAAACGGCGAAAAACGATGACTTACTCACTGAAAAGATTCGTGACTCCAATTTTACTGTTTATTTTCCTGTTTATTTTCCTTTACTGTTTTATTTTCCTATATACCGATAAACAAAACAGTTTTATGGCAACCTATATAGATCAGTTTTGACAAAATTTTATGTATGTTTTTTTGCCATTTCCTACTTTTGCAAAGAAAACTCTGTGGAAGGGAGGAGTTAGACTGTAACGTAACAGTGTGTGACAACTGAGCTAAAAGCATCAATTCCTCGAGAGGTTATGCTAAAATGATGTTGATGTTGCTTGAGAGACATACACGAGAAGTGATGTTCTTTTTGTGTAGTTGAGAAAGAGAGTGTTTTCTGCGAAGAGATATTTTTTTGGGGTAATATTTTGTGATTTTTCGTGTGAATGTTTAAATAAATTGTTTGGTACAACTCACGTCTTATTTCTGGTTGTTGTGACACAACAGCCTTAACAAAGTACAATATTTGTTGGTAAAGGCTTTAGGTATCGTAGAAACAATGTCAACTGATTCAGCTTTTAATAAATGTGGCGCTTAACCTAGAAAGAACCTGGAAAATGTTTTAAAAGTTGTGATTTAGGCTCAATGTGAATGTTTTCTTCCAGACTCACAGTGGGATTTACTCGCCATCTAGTATTTGTTCAAAGGGGTAAAAAAAAAAATTTAAAAATCACTAATTTATCTCTACACTAGTAACAGAAGTGCAAGTTTCAAAACATAATTTTGGAGCATCTTTGGAGCAACAAAAATGCAATTTTGGAGCAGCGAAACAAAGATTTGGATCACATTAATAAAAAAGAATTAAGACAAGAATTTAATAACAAGATGCAACTTTTGTTGCATTTTTACACCAAATTAAATAAAACTAAACTCAAATCAGTAGAACTAATAGTTCAAAGGTACTAAAACTGCTCACAAATAAAAACTACGGCTTCGTACTTAAATCTATATATATCACTTGTTTTCTTTTATTGTTCAAACCTCAGAAAGCTTTAAATCTTATTGCTAAGTTTGAAAATTTGCATGAATTGAACGACTCTAAAATTACAAAATTATCCCCCGAGTATTTCTTTAGAAATTTTTAAAAAAATGTCAAAAACTAAAAGTATCATTTCTATTATTATAATGCAGTGTATATCTAATATATTATTCTAAACACAGATACTCACTTCCACCTCCTCATGTACTGAACAGTTTCAACTTCACAGCCAGCATCTTTTAATGCTGTTATATATTGGTCCACTTCAGCCTGCAAATAATTTTGTATCCATAGTATAAAGATGCTTGCATTCTTTTAAAGTTTAGTAAAAATGTGTATAAAATATAACTCACCTCTGTCATAGGAGGGCCACATATGAAACTGATCAAAAAGAGCCTTAGTTTATCACTTGGCAATCCAGCTAAAGAAATTTTAGAAACATAAATACACAGATATGAAGAGGGATAGTTTGGTGGCTGTTCCATAGCAACAGACAAAGTGGCTGTCTGTTGCTATAGAAAAGAGCACTTTCAAAGAGAGAAGCTTCTCTATCCCCAGATTTCCTTTCTCAATTGACACCAAAACAGTCTTATATATTGACCCAACAACCCTACTCGAAATAGTTAAATATCATAACTGCAACTGCTCCAGACAAATGGTGAGGGTAGTTCTTTCCATAGACAGAATATACATTATTTTAAGATTTATATAAAATTAATTTACAGCACACAGTAACATGAAATTCATTTATAATTACCTTCTGGATCTGTAATCATGTCCATCAATGATTTTTCCTGTAAAGAAATTTCATTATTTACTGAACAATTATTTGAATTACAATTTACGAATTTAAAAAACACAAAAGGAAACTGAAAATTGAGATAATGTAAGGAAAATTAAAAGAAAGAAGCTTTCTCAAATTTTAAGAAATAAAACGAAAACATTTTCGCTACGGCCCTCTGTAAACTAGGAAATTAAGGCTTCTCAAATTCATGACCAGCAACATAATGGCAGCAAATGGTTAGTATTGAGGACCAATCGCCTTTACTTTCCAGACAAGCTGGTGCCCATTGATCTAAAGATGGGCGGACATCAAGCTGCCGCAAGGGATCGAATGAAAGAACTTCACAACGGCATCTCAGTGGCTTTACCACCAAGCCATAATGGCTCATGTTGAAGGATAAAAAATCTTTATATAGATTATAAATAATGACTATAAGTACAAATTTTTATACTTTATTATAATTTTAGTACCTTTTCATAAGTTTTATTTAAAAATACCAGCAAATTATATGGGAAACATTATCTAGAACTAGAACTTAATAGGTCTGAAATGAATTTGATAAATTTCAATGCATAGATTGAGACCTCACTCTGAAATTCCAACACAATACAATGCATAATTGATACTGTTTAAGTAAAAGAAAAAAATAAGAGTACACATTCCTCAAAGGCATTATAAAAGAGTCAAGGCTTCATAAAAAATTGAACTACAGTATTATTCAAGCAATCACATTTTAAAATATGGATAAAAACCCGACTAACTATAATAGTAAAATTATAATCATTACTTTGTAACCCAAGCAACAACAAAAAACTATTAGCATAGTGACATGGAAAAAAACAAATCAAGGCATTATAATTGATCAAAAAAAATCAGATACTTACTAACATAGCTTTGCCCAAAATTTTTTCTTCAATTTCAAAATAAACATCTAATTTTCGACTCTAGAGTAAAGATATTAGAAGCATGTATTTAATATAAACTTAATATGTATTTTACACAATATAATTATTTCAATTATAGAAAAAAAATCACCTTAATATGATCTAATATAGCTGTGGCAACAGTCATATGCATATCAATTAATCTCTTTTTTTCAAGGAGCTCTGGTAAGGAACTAAAATTTAATTCAACACAAATTAAAACCAACACAAATACTCCTGCATAACAATAAAATATTTTTTGCTAATAAAAAACGTATATGGTAACAATGTGGTTTTTATTAGGCACCAATCGCCCCTACTTTACAAGCTGGTGCCCAAGCCATGTTTTCTCGTTTTTAGATAAAACTTAATTACATACAGATTACAAGAAGAAAAAAAAACTGATAAAATTATTTAAATTTACCTTACTGCAGATGTTAACTTAGCAGTATTATCTGACATAGACCCAATCACTTCATCTGCTCCATTACTCATTTCTAAACCCTACAATAAAATTTTAATTTTTTGATAAAACTTTATTTGTCTGCAAAGAGCTGAAAATAAATATTAGCTACATTATAGTGCATAAAAAGTGACAAAAAAAGCAATAAAAAAGCATAAAAAGGTGACTCTATAAAACTAAATTTTAAAATCAATGATCTTAGAAATAAAGAAAAATAAGTTGTGAACTGAAAAGCAAAATTAATGGATACATTTGATTAAAAGAAACAAAAATTTGTCACATTTTTTACTCCTATTACTGTTAGGATTAATTTTGGGATAAGGTACTACTTGAATTTAGCTATGCACTAAAATGCAAATAGAGGAATAGTACAAGTAATTTAGGAAGAGTGCAAAAAATCTTATACCATTATTGATGCCAACAATGTTTAATTTTGGTAATAAGTTCTAATTAAAATAAAAAATAATGAATGTACTAAAAATCAAAATTAATGGGGAAAAGGTACTTATTCATTTAAGGGAATCATAAGATATTGCCATACTATTATTGACACCGGTGATACTTAATTAGTTTTTGTAATAGTTACTAGCTGAAGTGAAAAATAAACTATGTAATAAAAAGCAAAATTAATTAACAGAGAAATGGTATCAATTCATGTAAGAGATTTATAAAAAATGACTTAACAATTATTGATGCCAATTATGCTTAAAGAATTTTAATAATAGGTATTAATCTAAATAAAAAATAAGTTACGAACTAAAAAGCAAAATTAATGGAGGAATTGTACTAATTCTTAAAAAGAAACATAAAAAAATTGCCAGACTATTATCAACACCAATGATGCTTAATTAGTTTTGGTAATAGGAGCTACCAGTATTATGGTAATTGCTGTAGTTTTTATTTGTTTCAAGTACACTAATACAGGAAAAATGCATTATTATATTAGTTTATTTGGTACCTTTTAAAACTACATCAATACTGTACAGTTTTAGTATAAATACAGTGGGAAGAGGTTTTATACAATCTCTAAAAGGATATGTACCCGAGAAAATTGCTCGATTGTGATAAATTCACGAATTAAATACAGATAATCATTATTCTCATGAAATAAACTCTAAAATTATATTTTGCTTTATCTAAGAATATAAAAACACCAGGAAGAACAAAACATTGTGATAAATTTAAAAAAATTGGAGCTATTTTAGCTTTATAAGTTATTTTGGTAAATATCTTTCACAGCACATCACATCCTATACGAATGTGAAGCCCTCGCCCTTACGCGCCTCACTACCTTAGGCAATCCATATCCTAAAGAGCTTCACCTTAATTCCATTAAGGGACTGTCAGACTATAATAAAGTAGGCGACCCGAGACAATGGAACTAGGAAAAATTGGGCTTGGAGTATGGTACAAAATGCAACATGTGCAGAGGTGCCACATATCTGACAAGCTCAAGCAAGAAGAAGAAGAAGAAATATCTTTCAGCTTCATACATGATTCTAAGTGTTATTCAGTACTGATTATTTTCTTTTCTTTGCACACCGAACAAAGAGCGGGTATTCAGCCACTTATATAAAAAATTGTAGACATACATACCATAGCAGCTTTCAGTCGCTTAACTTCTTCTTCAGATGATCTGTAGGAATCTAACTCCCCCTGAACAGCTTCGGCAACAATCGGAAAAGGGCTTCACAAAAACAATTGGAAGAAGATTAATAGCTTATAGTTATTTTAAGAAAAACAACAACAAAAATTCAAGGTATTAAAAATTTACTCATTTTTTGGCAATAAATTGGGAAAAAGAGAAAGATTTGGAAAAAATATAGGATATTCTTCATAAATGCAAGATGCTTTTTTATCCTTAAAAAAAAAGACTAATAGTATGAATGACAGTTTCTGGCCCTTCTGCAAGCAACAACATACAGTATTTGCTTTTTTTAAATTATTGTGTTCTCCCTAAGCATTTTTTGAAGGGCAGCCCACCCTACTTGCTCTTTGATCCCAATAAATATACCTTCCTTTTAAATGCAAGTGCCTTTTTATTCATATTCCATTTTTAAAAAAATTAATTCACTGTTAAGATAATACACTGGCAAAATTATCTGTTAATTGGTTTAATTCTAAATACTGTTACAAATGTTTACTTTGTTAGGATTATTCTTAAATGGTTACATTTTACAAGTACTTTTTTAGGGGGGGATAATAAATTTTAATTTTTGAACCCAATCCAGAAGACAAGGGAACTCCTGGGTCAAGTATTGGGAGAAATTTGCCTTTGTGAATTACTTTTTGATGGAACTAGACCACATTTATCTTGCATGGAGAGGAAAACCACGAAAACCTCTCACGATTAGTCTGACAGCAAGGGGTTTCTAATCTTTGATCCATCTATCACAGAGGATATTTTATGTCAGCACTGTGGTCAGAGCGAGCTGGGGCAGAATTCATATTGACCACGAATCGCTGGGAATCAAACCAGTTCACCTCGTAGGAAGGCGAAAGCTATCCCCTAAGTCACCACGGATCACCATTAATTAAATAATTTAAAAACAAATAAAAAAAACTTGATAGCCATATTTATTATGTTAAATGCTAGTTAGGTTGAAAAAGAAAATTTTAGCCCATATTTATTGCAATTCTGCTACCACTTAAATTATTATACAAAGCTTTACTAACATTGGAATACTTGCAGGTATGCTTTACTACCTAAAAAAAGGTAACTGCATCAAGATAATTTAATGATGTTTTTCTTTTAAAAAAATTCTGGATAACTTCAGGATGTTGGCTTTTAAAAATTGGATCTAGTTTCTAGATATTTCGAGTTTTTCTAGTGCTTTCGCATAGAAACATTCAAAGTACTGCTGTACTAAGTTGAATAAATCAACTTACAATCTCAGTTTGTCATCTTTTAGTAAGATAATTTTTTTTATATTATTTGAACTTAATTTGTTTTATTATATGAGATATTGATTTTTACCTTCCTTTATACTGCATCCAAAATTTATCTGTTGGATTTAAATCAAAAGTTTTTGTTCTTTTTCTGGGCTTTGCACCAACATGCCCTGCTTTTTCTGTCACTTCTTCAATGGATACTCGATTTAATTGGAGATCCTGTACAAAAAGGAACATAATTTTAATTAAGACCATGCGTTCAGAATATGTCCAATCACACAAACAAGGATCGGGAACTACTCTGAAAATCTTTGGTCTAATTTTAAAAATAAAAATAAAAAGACTAAAAAAAATTTTATTGTAAAAAAATCTTTTGCATGACAATATTTTTCCTGTTTATTCATGCACTACGAAAAATCAAACTTTTTTTTTTTTTTTTAACTAAAAAGGAGTATTTATCAAAAAATTTTAACAAAATTTATACTTTCTTTCTAAAATTCCTTTGAAAAAGTTATTATAACTATAAAAAGAAAAGCTTTATAATTTTGCAAGGAATTTCAAACCAAACAAACTGTATTCTGGGATAATATTAGGCTCTGAGAATTTTCTGCATCCCTGATTAAGACATAAGGTTAAATACAGTATAACCCGATTATCCGTGGAATTGAGTGGCAAGCACACTGCTGCAATAAAAATCATGGATAACCCACAAAAAAGCAAGGAGGAAATATGAAAAATAATTTTAAAAGGAATTCATATGCAGATGTGCCAACCTCAGAAAATAAAAAAAGAGGAGACCCCAAAAGAGGGAAAGGGGGTGAAAGACTGGAATTAAGTGTAATGCTCATATGTTTATTACAAAAACTAAATAGTTAAAGACCATTACATTAGAAATCAGTATACATTTATTGAAAGAAGATTTATTTTTGATTGATGATTAGAGTAAATACAGAACATAATAATAAACTTTCAATTAAATCATAACAAGCACAATTAACTAGCAAATTTATTAACAGTAGCAGATTTTGCTCTTTTCAAGAAATCATCATCAAATTTTTGTTTAAAACAGGGTTCTGAATATTTTGGTTTGACAGTCATTAGGTTCTCCAAATTTTTGGCAGTCATAGAGGATCTAAACTGGGTGTGTGCTTTTGTAACCAAACTAAATATGCGCTCGCACTCAGAATTGATGTGTGGTATTGCTAGTATTGACAACATGAATTTAGATAACAAATCATATTTATTTTTAAACATGGCACACAATTTATCCCATTTAGAATCAATTCTTTGCTCTGACTCAAGAGAACCAAGAAAATCTTCCAGCTGCAAAGAATTGAATTGTGACTGCAATTCATCAACTGTTGAACAATCACCTAAAGATTTCAACAGTCCTGGAAAACGATCAATAAAAAATTTGACACTAGAAAAAGATGCTTTGTCAAAGTTTTCCATATTAGCAAATTCAGCATTAATTACTACTTCATCATTAAAGGGAAATTTCTGTCTCATATAGTCACATACTTTGACAAAATATTTTCTGATGTGTGCATAGAATGATTTCTTTTCTTTATCACTCAAAGACTCAACAATTTTATTCGTAGTCTGTCCTACAACTAGATCAACATCATCTTTTTGGTTATCTCTTGAATAAAAATTTACCTCTAAAAATGATTTAGAAGATTTTACAACATTTGGTAACATAAACTTGGATAAAAGTGTTTTAAAAAGTTCATTCATCAACTGCCTCAGGATGTGAATTTTTGGAGATTTACACTGTAATGTCACATTAAAATGTTCAAACACAGGCAGTATATGCAGCAAAAAGTTTACGTATGCCTTGTTAAGGTCAGAAGATAAAAACATAAAAAGTCTTTCTACTCTGGAAAGAATATTACCTGCACTAGAATTTTGATCTAAATTTACATTATCACATACCTTCTACTTCTTAGGTGCAGGCTGAACATTATCATTCATCTTTCTTTTCCCTTTATCAACAGATTCCAATTTAGGTAAATGAGCAGATGACTTTAATTTTGGAATAGTATATTCTGGTAAGGCAACAGAAGATGAATCTTTTACTTCTTCTTTAAAAAAAGAAGTTAATGGCTCCCATTGTTGCAGTAATCTAGATAAGCAACGTCCTAGTGACAATCATCTCGTAGAGACATGCTTTAGCACCTTTCTAATTTCTGTATTATGGAGTTCTTGAAACTTTTTCAGTTTCTCTTTCCTTTTAACACTTTTCTCCAAATAAAAAAATATATCAATTATATATTCTTCAATGTTCACAGGAATACAATTAGCCCCCTTTTCTGCAGCTAAGTTAACAAGATGGCATAAACAGCCTTGCACAAATAATTGTGGGATATCCTTTTTAAAAATTCCCCCTACTCCATTTTTTCCCCCAACCATAACAGGTGCATTATCAACACCTAATGCTAAGCAGTTCTCCAAAGGAATTTCACTCACTTTTAAACTATGCAAAACAAGTTTCACTATATTACAACCTGTAGCATCCCCTTCCAGAACTGGAACAGAATATAAATGTGTTCCTACAAGTTGCTTGTTTTGATCATTACAAGTAGCAACAATAGGAAATAACTTAAAATCTCCTTTGTTGCTTCCATCGGTTGAAATAGAAAACATGTTTGTTCTCAGCATTTTGGCAATATCAATCTTTTCAGACTGTGTCATTTCCCCTATTATGGCAGTAGTTTTAGTTCTGGCACAACCGTATTGTTTGGCTATTTTGCTATCAGGAAACATATTCCTTAATAGCGGACCAACGTGATCAGCCACACTTATGGGAAGATTATGTTCAATAATAAAGGATGTAAACATACATTCTGCCCGAATCACATTCATATCGTTCTGGACAAAGGAAAAGCCAAGAGTTTTGTTTTCGGCGAGAGTTTTTGTCATTCGCTGATGCTTTTCTCTCTCAATGTGCTGAGTTATATCTCCTCTGCCTTTGTGCTTTATCAAAATATCTGTCGAACATACGGTGCAAAAGGCATAATTTACTCCACTTTTAGATGAAGTAATAAATGGAAATTCATCAGAATAGGTCTTGTTGAATGATGTTGCATATTTTTTATTCTTTTTTTCAGACATTTCATTCAATATTTTCAGACAAAATCAAAACAAGTCCAGCACCACGTGAAACGTAATCGAGATCGGAGACGAAATTCAAAGCAAACAAAAAATTAATTCACTTCACTTCCCAATGTGAGAGATTGATCTTAAATCTTTGTTGAAGATACGTTCGCGCACTGAAAAGAATAACCAATCAGAAAACGATGCTTCCGAAGAGAGAGGCGGGGCATAAGCAATGACGAATTCGAAGGATTGGCTATGATTGGATGAGAGGTACGTGTCAACGCCGCGTCTACGTTTATTACAACTGCGCCGAGAATCGTCATTCTGCGAGGAAATAATAATAAAAAATAAATAAAAAGACGGAGACATCAGTGGGTTTCATTATAGCTACTCTTGGCATTTGTGCCATTTAACTTAACATTTTATAAAAATAAACATACAAATTACAAAAATAGTATCATTTACATGCAAAAGTTAAAACTTATCAATAAGTTAATATAAAAGTTAAAATTAATTCAAATATTACCAAAACATCATGTGCTAGAGCTTGATAAGTCCACGTATGATGCAAAGGAGTTGCCATATCTTGATTTCTATCTAAAATAGCCAACAATGGTCTCTGAAATCTGTAACAAAAAATAATAGAGATAAGCAAAAAAAATTAAAATGGGTTAGATTCAAGACAGAGCCGCTAAATAGAATGTGCTCCAGATTGTTGAAACTGTGCTCAGGGTGCATAGCCAAATCATTCTACAAAAAATAAGCACCATTTAAGTGCTTTTTAAGCACTCAAAAAATATTTTTAAGCACTATATACATTAGCAAAATGCAAAATAATTTACAAAGACTTTATATGATCATGATAAAATAACTAGTTTCTGGCAAAGAACTCTTTTCTTGATTATAATAGCCATTAAAAAATGCATCAAGAGATTTTTCGTTTCGATATCAGAGAGTAGAAAATGAAGCCTGAAATGGAAAATATCTTGCAAAATGCAGCAGAGTTGCACACGAGAGTGCAACAATCTCACCGATCCCTGCTCAGTAGACGCACACGCCGACTCGCAAGTATTTCATCAAACATGTAAAATAATTGGCGCTTCCATATGCTATAGACCGATGGTACGCCGAAATAGATTGTTGGATGAATTGTAAAAACGTTGAATAGAACGACGTGAAAAGCATTGTTTTGCATAATGCGTGGCGAAAAATGACATGCTAAAGAAGAAAAACTCATTTTTGAAAAATAAAAATCAAGCACTTTTTTAAAAAAAACCAATGAAAAAAGCACCTTTAGGGGCTTTTAAAAAATAAAAACCAAATATAAGCACCTTTAAGCACTTTTTAAAAACACTACGCACCATGTGTGCCATATCTGTTAAGATTTCAAAAAAGATCAGCAGTTTTAAATGCGTAGAGATAACCCTTTCTTTTCATTTTACGTAAATAAATTACTTCTAAATAAAATATTTTAATAATCTTTACTTTTATTTGTCATAGTATATATTATTTAAGAGTGAGCAAACAATATTTATCATTTAAACTTTGAAATGAAAATGGTGGATCTGAATGGGAGGATTTCTACAGACTCGGTTCAATAGGAGCAGTGAAAATCATCTTTAAGATGTTTCTTGAAGGGGTTCATAACATGAAAATTGAAGCAATTAGTTACACTTACAGAGTTACCGAACTGACCCAAACTTACTGATTATACACAAAATTATAAAATAAAACAAATACTTACGAAAATGGTGTAGGCATACCATCAGGCGCAAATAAACTATTCCTGGCATCTCTTAGATTTTCTCTTATCTTTTTGTCAAGCTTCTACAAATAATAAAATAGGAAATTTAATTTTCTTAAGGCTCTGAAACATAATTTACCTTTTTTTTAAATATTTAACAAACTTTTAATATGTTACATCTATACATTTGTTAAAAATTACCTCAGCAACCATTTCAGCAGCATTTCCTCTCGGACTTCTAATAATAGGTACAGCTCCTAAAATAATCATATATTCATTTTTTTTTTAAAGAATAAAAAATCACCATGATTTTTTTTTTTTTTTTTTTTTTTTAATTTCACAAAATGATCTTAGTCAATTTCTCTACAAGTACCAATGCATGATATTTTCGGCTGAAGGTCAATTCCATTGTTTTTACTCGTATTTTTATCATATACTTTCAACACTTGAAAAGTACGATTTCGAAATTTAGAGATGTTCGGTTAAAAGGATACAACATGATGAAGACAAGGATAAAAGAAAGCATAAACTGCTCTTTTTATTCCATATTTAATGTTTATTTTATTCATTTGATTTATTCATAACTGTGATATTATAAATTAATCATAAAAGAAATAATGTGTTCGCAATAATTTTATGCATTAATTTCGCACAAATGGAGATTATTTGTTTACTTTTTATTTCTATTTTTTTTAAATTATTTTAAAGGGTCTTTAACTGTATCATTTGATATGTTAAAATTTTAGAAATTTAAAATTAGTAAAAAGAAACGAAATGCATTCGTGATTGCTTTGTGTAGTACAATTTAGTGCAAAACAAGATTTATTTTATTATTAAAATTTCATTTAATTATTGTAAGGATTTTTAGCTTTTTAATCATTTTATTTAATAATATTTAAGTATTTTAAATCAGATTACAATAAAGCTATGTTTTGTGATCGCGATTGTTCTCTATGGTATAATTTTGCGCTTAGTAAGATTCTTTTAATCAATTTATTATATTTTAATAACTTATTTTTATTATATTTAGGTTTTTAACTTCTTTATTTACATAAAATTCAAGTATTTCAAATTAGTATTTATTAATGTAATGCGTTTGCGATTGTGTTGCATTTGAATTGCTTGCAATTGTACAGGGCACAATTTTGCTTAAATTTAAAAGTTATGAAAATTATCAAAATACATAATTTCTGATTTTAAGTAAAATCCCATATATTAATTTAACGTATATTTAATAATTATTTCAATGATTTATTGAAGTCAAATAATGTGGAATGTCTAATCAAATAATAAAGTTTAAAATGACAATAAGCAATTAACTTACCTAATGTAACAAATACAGAAAATAAACTATCAACAATAGTATCAATTAAAAATTCCATCTCTGTATCTTTCATATCTCCTCTATTAACCGCTGAAAATATGAAAAATGTAATTTATTAATATAAATTGTAAAAATATAATAAAGTTTTTATCCAAAATAATGATAACAGCAGCATTTATAACAATTTTGGTCAAAAAATAATAAATGTGTTATTATATTTATTTAAGTTTTATACATAAAACTTAAGTGTAGTAATAACACATTAAAAAATTTAAATAATTTACTTTGCAGAAAGACACGCTTCAAAAATAAATAAGTCAATCCACAATACGAATGAAAATGTAAACAATACAATATAAAGAGCACAGTTCTTAAAACTGTGTACATAAAACTAAAGCCAAAATATTGAAAAAAAATACTGGTGTTATAATATAGAAAACTCTATTATAAATATAGAAAGCAAAGAATTGCTTGAATAAAGTGTTCAAATACTTACTAAGCGTAATGAATTATAAAAATTAAAATAACTGAATAATTATTATTATGCTACTTGATAAATGGTATTTACCAAAATAATTTAATGAAGAACGATCTTGATGCCTAAGAAAGTAAAGGTTATCTTCAACAGTGATGAAGTTCAGATACTGATCAAACACCTAGAAAAACAGTAGAATATTAACATGTAACAAGAAGCAAAGTCATGTGTCAAAGTCATAAGTCATGTGTACTAACCGAATTAACAGATGAAACACATCCAGCATTAAGAGATGCACTAGCTAAATCCTCCAATCTTTGTCGAGAAATTGGTGAAATAAAATTTAAAAAATAACTATCGTATAGCTGATTCCTAAAATCCTAAAACAAGAAACACTGACATAAAAATTACTCATAAATATAATGGAAAAAAAAAAGACTATAAGATTCACATGCATCATAAAAGTAATAATAAGTAAGTACAATAGAGAACCATTTATCCGGTATTCAGATAACCGGGAAACCAGAAAACCGGGAAAAATTTTGATCGGTTTTCCCGCCATTTTAAACTAGAACGATTATGAAAAAAAAGTGGAAATGAACTCATCCTTGAAGTTGAGTAGAGGAAAATGTAAGGAAGGGGAGAATTTTTCCCCATTTACCCAGAGAAACATCATTTCCTCCGTGACTTTGAAGGCAGGGAAGGGAGGAATGTTTAATTTTCTCCTTTAGGCCGTCAATCAAGCTCAAGGGTGTGTTATCTGTTTAATTTACGAGGGGGGTGGAGAAAATGCATTGCATGCCCTTCAGATCAGTGAACAGAAGATGAAAGAGAAAAATATGTTTATCTATTTGACATTGATTAATAAAAATAAAATCTTTTTCCTCTGAATAAATTCAAGTGCGGTATTATTTGCAAGTTTTTATTGATGTGGAATCACATCTGCTGCAACTAAATATCGTGTTTTTATCAACAAAAAATAAATAAATAAAAGGAGAATTGTTTATTAATTTAAACATACGATTATTTTATGAAGCAGATTGCAGTTTTGCTTTTCTGATTCCACTACGTTTGATTTTTTTTTCTTTTCACACTCAATAAATTAATTATTTTTATTCATAAGTTTTATCATTAGTTTTTTTTTTTTTAATTCCGTTGATCTTGCCTTGTTCCGGGTTTCAATATTTATGTTAGTGCCTTTTTTAACTATCGTTTCGGTTCGATAATTTTCAAGTGTTTTTATTTAGATCAATAAGTTTTCCTTTTATTTTATCGTTTCCCCCGTATAATTAGGTATGAAATATATTGCATTATTTAACCATTGGTTTTGTTTATATTAGTTAATTTAGGAATTGTAATTATTTTTAAAAAATAAATACTGGAATTTCGTATTTTTTTAATCTTGTTTTTCCTGTCTAAACTTGCAAATTTTTTTATTCTTTTAAA